TAGTAGTGTCACCTCTGCAGTGAAGACCATCATAGTTTAGCTTGCTCACCCTCTGCCCAGGTTGTAGCACTTGACCTGCTATTTGTTCTCACCAACTGGCAGAAATCACTGCAACTCTTTTAACAAGCAGCCATGAGACATACTTCAGTTTTTAAGTATGTTTCCCATTTGTGTCTTTTGCCATATGGGACAAATATTACAGTGGCAAGAATTTACTATGCTGAAGAATAGTCCTGCACCATGTTCCAGAAGTGTATGTCCCCTAGGAATGGCAGAAATTTGTCTGCTTCCTAAACAAGACTCTAAATGCCATTTGTGTGATACTCTGAACATTTGCCACCCTAGCAAACGATATGACTATTGTTATAAACAACATCTGTGGTCTACCTGTTTTCATATCTGTCCTGTAAAAGGGCTCTTATGAGAAGGAACAAGAATTCTTAAATTGCACAACAACTGAACGAGTCTCCAAAGAGAAAATGTTCTCCCTATCATGAGTTAAAAGTTGTCTTCTGACATAAACCACAGATTGTATGTGTGTATTTATATATAATTTATATCTCTCTCTATGTATATGTGTATATATTGGACATCTGTGAGAACTATGAGAACACCCACATTTTTATATCCATTAAACTATCTAATGAATAAGCATTTCCTTCATAACATATATGTGGAAACCAAATAGGAAATATCTATAAATGGACACTGTGGATGTTCTCATCAATATATATGTGTAATCCTTTTTCTTGAACTGAAGAAGCTCATGGTCTCAATAGTGTCTCGTGACAAAGAATCCCACAGGCTAATTATGTGCTGTGTACAAATGTATTTCCTTTTTATTGGTTTTAAATGTGATGCCTTTAATTTTATTGACTGTCCCTTGTTATGTAAGAGAAGAAAAAGATAAATAGAAATTCCCCATTTGTTTTCTCTCAGAGTGTATAGTTTTGTAATGTCTCCTAGCTGAGCTAAACAGCATAATTTCTAAAAAAAAAAAGAATGATACATCTTGCAGTCATTACAGTCACTTCCTTTGCCTGGCTCTGAGCTCTACTTACAGTTTTATTGACATGTTTTTAGCTATTCTGTTCTCCATAATGCTGAGCAAACCATCTCAGTTGTTCTCTTTTCAAATTAATTAATCCAAAAGATGGCAGATAACATGTGCTAATGATTCCTTTCCCCTTCAATCTGCAAAGATTTGAAAATGCCCTATTGTCACAGTTGGAAAGCTCTGGTATCAATAAGTTGCCCCAATTACTGCTTTTTCAAAAGAAATTAGAACAAAAAAAATTGTACATGTATCCAGGGGAGCAATTTCTCATAGTTAAGGTGTAAACCCTGCTAAACAGCTTGGCAAAAGCAGATTTTATCTACTGTGGTTTGATAGATACATGCTTAGTAGAGGTGAGCAGGGAGAGACTGACATCTTAGAGGGAAGAATAATGTTTATGCTCAAAATGACAGACAAGGATTTAGCGTATAAAAAATTACCTTCAGAATTGATTCACAGTTCATTCCCTTTCTATTTCCAAGCTTCAGTACGGAAGAAGAAGGGTAAGGGGAAGCATTTTGTCTCTTGTTTAACCTGTTTCTCACCTTTCCATAGTGAAGGATAATAACATAATGTAAATGTTGGCATATGGTCCAGTTTATTTTATGGTGTCAAATGTACATTAATTATTGTATATGTTTTTTAGTTATTTAGTTAATAAATTGCAAACACACTAAGAACTCAAACAGAAGACTACATTTGAAAATATTCCCCGCATTTCTTCCTTTTGTCTCCTTTCCTTCATCTTGCCTTTTTTTCCTTCTTTGTATCCAACTCTTTTCCAACCCCTTCCATCTCATCTCCTCACAGTTACTGTGCTAACTGGCAGCCACAGAGAACATGTGGCCACTAACATACCCTCAGTGTAGTCCTACGTTAGTGATTCCGCTTGTCTCTTTACTGGCCAACCACTACTCCCATAACCACACTGTCTCTGTCTCAGGAAATAGGGATCTTGCACACAACACTTGAACTTTTGACCTGGAGAAATGCTGCTCTGCACAATTTTTAATTTTCAATATACCATCTTCCACGCTGTCCCGTATGCATGGAGTGCCCTCCCTGGACTGATTCATAAGGCCACTACCTTCTCCTTGAAATCTCTCCTAAAGACCCACTTTCCCTAGATCCCTATTAAGCAGTCATCCAAGCACTGATGGCTAGGCAGAGGGGCAGGTAGAACTAGTGGTGCTATTTGGATAGTTTTTATCAATGTAACCGTATATACATGTATACAGAGTTTGTTTGTGTTTAGCTGTATTATTCCATACTCCTGTACGTCATTTTGCTTTCCTAGATTGTAAGCTCATCTGAGCAGGGACTGTGTCATTTCCACGTTCTCATGGCGTCTAGCCCAAGGAAGAGTCTCAAACCTCCCCGAGCCCCTGGGTGATAGCTGGTGAAACAGGCTGTGTCCTGTTCTTCAGCAAAGTTCAGTGTCATGGAAAGGAAAGTTAGGCTGTAGGCAGTGTCTTCTCTCAACAGGGAAGCTTTTTCTTTTTAACATTAAGTAGGACAAAATTGGGTTATTTTCCACTCTTTATTTTCCTGTTCTCTCATGACCTCCTTTCAGGTCGTTAACAGAGGTTCCAGCTAGTGATATTTGCCATTCTCCATTCAGAGAATATGACAGAATAAACCACATAGCTGCTGAAAATACATTTTGGCAGCAGATAAAAAATCTTTACATTGTTATTGTAGTCTTCTGTCAACCGAAAATTCAGTTTTCTGGGTCAGAGATGAGGGAGGCATTTACATGAAAATAATGACTTCTGTGGTTCTCTTTGACTGGTTTTGTTGGCTGTCTTTTGAGATGGGTTCTGGTTCGTTGGGAGGACAGGAGGAGGGAAGGGTATAGGCTGTATTTTTTATCAGGATGGAAGCTGTATTTGTGTCTAAAGAGATAGGTAATAAAATCTTCAGGCTGGGAGCAGCATGGCATGGGCAGTACTATCATTTTACTGCAGTTACATAGCATGAATTGATAAAATTTGACTTCATCTGTGCCACTGACTTTCTGCTTGTGGTAGTTGCCTGACTCAGAGAGATAACTTCCAGCTTTAAAATGTGTGTGTGTAGGGGACATGTTTTCAATAGTCAAACTACTTTCTGGATTTTGTGGGATATTGGGGATGGGGAAGAGGCATTCTTCTTTCTTTTGTGACCTGTAGTTTTCCAAGAAGTGTTGAATGAGTAAGTAATGGCAACATGTAAACTAACAGTTGTAGCAGCAATTTGTTGAAGGCAGTACTTAAAATATAAATCCATTAATATTGAAGAATAACCAGAATATTCACACAGGAAGTTGAAATGAAGGTTTGAAAGTACTCTAAAAATGAAACATTAAAAGAAAAATTTGGGGTCATCATTTTCATCACTACAGAAAAGAAAAGGTTATCACTAGGGTTTCAAAATTAATGTTTTAAAATAATAAATGTAACTGTTCATGAAAAGTTTCTGCAGCTGGTGAAAATCTTGCTTTGAAAGGGTTTTTTCCTTCAGTTTTTGGTTTTACTTGTTTATCAATAACATCCTGGGAAAGAATTTTAAAATGATATGATCCTTAAGGAACACACCCATAAACTAAGACCTGTAAACGTCTAAAAACATGATCTAAAAGTTTCCTGCTCCTGAGCTGGTTTTGCTGCCAGGAAATGGGTTTGATTTAGTGAATGATTTGCAATTTTCAGGGAAATTGGAAGGGAAGTGGACAGTGTATAATTTTAAAATACCTTATATAAAATCCTCTAAGAGAAAGTACAAAGTTAAGAATAGAGCAGGCTAAATTTCCATAGCAAAGTGGGAATGACAAGAAAAATAATTTTTCTGCATTAACAAATACTCCATTGACAGTGTCACATGAGTGTCAGTTGTGAGCTAGGGGTGGTTGTTTGTTTGTTCTTGGGTTTGATATGGTAATCAATATAAAATATTGATATATACCATATATTGCTAAAGTATGTGTGTTGATACTGGTCTTTGGGTTGTGATGTGGGCTACAGTACCAACTATAAACATGGGATTTTCCTCCTATGAAGAGTTTAGTTGCTAGTTCCATGTCACAGGTACAGAGTAACCGTGATATCATCCACACAGAATATTGTTACCTGGCATCAAGTCTTACTGGCATTTGAATAGAAAAATATCAGTTGATGGCATTCAAAAGACATATTATTAGCTCTGTCTGCAATAAGCATTCACACTTCATCCCATTCCTGTTGTCCATTGTTTCAAAGGTGGCACATTCCAATGGCATCTGAAACAATGAAATTGCAGAGCAAATATATATAAATGAATGCCAAACAGCGGATTAGCTTACAGTGTTCTGTTATGTTTGAAGAAACCACTCCCAAAGTCGTCTGGGTTCAAAAATCGTTCTTGTATTTCACTGTGGTGGAGTTGATGATGGAGATTTGTCTGCAGGAAACAATGGAAATACCAACACAGCAGCTTATACAGCACTCACAGCGTCGACTCCTGGGATAGTTTCCAGCATCTGCAGTGCTTCTCTGTAGGAAGAAGGTTTTCTGATCTTCACCTGACACTGTATTTTAGAAGATGAGAGCAAAAGGCATCAGACTTAATGAAGAATTCTTGAAGGGTATCCTTGTAAGTAATTGATTTGCATTCCATATTTGCAATGCTAATGAGAGAGCAGTATAGTAATAAGGAAAAGGTTGTCATCGGGTTGTCATTTATCACGAGTATAAAGCAGTGACTCTGGGTGAATTTGTGAAGTGGATGTGTCAGGCCCCATTTTTTTTTTGATGTGGTGAGGATAGGGATTTTACAACTTGTAGTGTAACTTGCGGGGAGTCCATAGAAGTAGAATTAAGACAATGACATAAGTGCTTGGAAAACACTTTGTGAGAAAAAAAGAATTGCAAATTGGCATGTTTCAAACAGGCAACAATGCTCACCTTATGTTTTCCACCAAAAAAAATCTGGCACCTAACTGGCAATGTGCTGATTAGCAACTTGTGCCACAGAATCTAAAATTAACAGGTAACAGTAGTAAAGTCTTCTTCAAACCAGGGCCTATGTTGCCTATGGGCAGCTAGAACGAACATTTTGGGACCACTGGGAATCCTGAGCAGAGGTTGGTTGGATCTCTGTGTGTATGTTCTCATTTACACTAGTATTATTTTGAATTTAGCAGCTTGCTCTTGAGTGTGTAGAGCCCTTTTATGATACTTGTTTTTCTTTACTACAGGACAGTAATTGAAAAGGTTTTCAAAACCTTTCTGCATCAGCCAAACAAGACAATGGTATAAAAGAAGTTGGAAAAGGAATTGTAAGTGTTCTAGAAAATGTGGGGTTTGTAGCCTTTCGAAAGAGACAAATTAAGTAATGTTAGCTTATATGAGTGTCACTATGCTCAGATATTTTCAAGTGAATATCTAACCACATATTCAAAATCATGAGGGCTTGAGGAACAGTTAAAATTGCATGTGCTTCCCAACATGGCACACTTAGGGCAGTGAAAAACTTTTTCAGCACTTTTAATGTGTTCTCTCTCTTTTTCAGGAGCCAGGGAGATGAAGGACTTATCTCCCTCATCTCAAAACTCCCTTTGCTGCTATTTCTTTTTTTTTTTTTTTTGCCTTCAAATGTTCATATACCCATGTGAATTAATTTCTAATATAATTAAAAATAAATGTTTTTAGATAATTCCTCATAGTTTGTTTGGTTTTTCCCCTCGGTGTGGAAGCGTGAGCACAAGTGTCAGACCAGAGAAGGCTGCAAGTGTCTTAGGTCCTCCACTTTCTTTTTGGTTTCTTTTAGTTGATTGTCTTTCTTTTGTGACTAGGCCAAATTTTCAAATGCTGTCTCTTAAACAGAACCTCAAATTGCCACTTAAATTCCACCTGGCTTGCAGGGTAGGAGTGGGTATTGACTATATTCTCTGCTTTGTTTTTGTTCTTGAACAGAAACCACTGTTAGACAATGACCATTCCTCTTTCAAGGTAGGCTGAATTGTAAGGCTTCAGGATTGCAGGTGTATTTTAAATGCCTGTATAGAATTATTTCATTAATTGAACATACTGTTAAAGAGCTGGTACTTGAAAATTGTATCTCTAGAAAGAATTTGAACATATCAGTTTTCTGCCTTCCTTGAAATTACTTTTGATGGTGTGATTATAATGTGTAAATGTGACTTGTGTGTACTAATGTGAAGCTATTTTCAGCCTTAGAAACACAAATAAGACTTTCTTTCAAGAAAGTTTTCGATAGTTCTTTATTGTGAATACATACAAATCATTTTCATAAATCATGTAATGGTATTTATAGATACTGAATGTTAAGTTATCAATTTTAGTCACTAAACAGTTTTTGTGTTCTGATTTATTTTGCATAATTTTCATTTCTTTTTATTTTAGTGTGCTTGTAGAATTTACAGTATCCCAGAGAAAAGACAAGTATTTTTACTCAATTTTCACAGAAGGAAAGTGTTTCAAGTGCCTTATGTGTCTGACTGTATTGCAAAGCACTTTTGTTATTT